TCCATTTGTAAACTTCTGTAGTAACTACTTGATGCATTGTTAAAGAAAATTAAAATTTGCCTTATACTTTGAGTGGAATTTGGTTTGCTTTATATAGAAATTTGTGCCAAATCAAAGAATTTATTAAAATATATAAATCGAATTAGGAGTTATTGGTCATTCTAACTACAGTTATAAAAAACTTTACGGATCATTAATTTTTGGAAATTATGAAATGCTTCTAAACTTGTTTTTGCTGAAACTGATTTAAAGCAAACAGAACAGACCAAGTTGCTAAGCGACGCTTTCAAAGCTTTTTCAGTGTTGAAATATTTTTTCTAATACTAAGAAATTTTTATAATCTGTAACATAGAGAGCTTTAAATATTTATAGGAATATCTGGAGCAAATTTAAGTCAATATTTGAAATAGTTGAAAACTGAATGAGCTGTCGAACGTTTTCCTTAACCCATTCTGAGATCGTATTAATTGTAGGAAAATAAGATAGGAGGTAACTTTGTTTAGGTTATCAGTGTTTGCTACATTTGCGCAACATTAAATAGGGTCTCTAAAAATTACATCCCAATACTATGGCATCTAAAACGAATGTTCGAAATCCTTAAAAATGAAAGGAAGAAAAAAAAATTCGAGAAGTTGGCAAAGGCTTCATGTTATGTTTTATCTTCGAAGATAATGAGGGAGAGATGCTGCTCGACCCCTAAGAATGAGTAACTATAGATTGCAAAACAGGCGAGTTGGAATTTTCTATACGACTGTTTTACTTTCAAACTGTAAATGGCAAACTTTAATGAAATGCTTTACTTTCAACTTTTAACTGAAGTTAACGCTATGCATTACCCAATTAAGTTTAGAAACCCGATGGAAATATTCAACGATATAACGTGAAAGAGCATCGTAAGTTTTAAGAAAGCTACCCGTCTTTAAAGTTAGATTTGATTATTGTGCAACCAGCTCCTCTTACCGACCTGATGCCTCAGGGTAAAAAAGTAAACTTATTCATTTTACTTTATGTATAGATTGTTACGCAATAATTCTTCTTTGATGCACTATGTTAACACATTTATGTTAGAAAAGGTCTGGAAATAATCTGCTTCAAATGCCATTTCAGTCAGTAAAAGGCTTCTTTATCAGAATATTTCTGCTTTCATGGTTTTGTAGTTTAATTATTTTTCGGCTTGTCGTAGACATATTCTCCTCCCTTCCTTTAGTGCTCTACATGCACGTAATCCAACTGATAATATTTTAAATGAATAAGATAAGCAGCTGCAAATGGGTGCTCAGATTACTACTTGCTCACTTCCTGAAACAGGGAACTTATAAAATCTAGGTTTGATTTCAGGACTTCCTAGGGAATATATTGAATAACAAAATGAACAAGCACAAAATAATCAGTTGCAAATGTAAAATGTGAATGAATGACATGTGGATGGAAATGGATAAATAATCGAAATTCAGAGTGAATTTTAACGAATCTTTGCGATAGACCTAGAAATGTTCCTACATCTGTTAATTACTAAGCGAACCTTTGTAAACAGTTTATTTTTGCAAACATAGAGGAAAGGAATGAAATCGACTCTATTGATTAACATAGGCTATGAAAAGAAATTCTATAGTATATTAGCAACCAATTTCATAGAAAATAGCCTATTAAAATTTATATAAAATGACCCGTGTCCTTTCGTTACTTTTGGTAGTTAAAATCCTAAACGTGATTTTACTTTTAAATCAATTCTAATAATTGTTAAATTAAATTTTATTTTATTGCTGCCTTCAGAGACTTTCAGAGTAGATTCGATGCTCTGTAAAATAATAAGTATAAATAAAAGAAATGTTCCTCTTTGTACTGATTTTATTATTTATGTTATGACCGTTAACATATATTTCATTCTTGATTCTTTTGAAGCTACAATTCTGCTAGACTTATAAGTTTATTATTACTCTGTTAGAATTTTCAGTCTAAAAGATTTTTCTCAAAGTTATATCTTTGAGTAAAGCACAACTACAAACGTTTTGGGCAATGATGCTCCAAAACTAGCATTTATTACATCACGATAAAGACAACTGTGACTAATAACTAATCCCCTTTATGTTGTCGTTTGTACCACTTATTTGGTGAATCCAAATATGGTACGTCTCAGTGACAGAAAGAGCAAGTAACATAGTCCTCAGAAAATATTTTAATGAGAATAATTAGCATCACAAGTATACGATATAAATTATGTTATTAAACTGATATGACCATATTGAGAAATTTTGAGATAATTTTGCATAATTTGCCTTTTAAAATTTTCCTTCATCATCGTTTTTAAATAATAAGTTTCATATTAATTTCATATTAAAATGCGTATAAACGCTAAATAAAAATAAAGAAAATGCACATAAACTATAAATTAGAAGTTTATATAAATGTTAAATTATAAAAGGCAATGCGTATAAACATGTTAAATAAATAATAAATTTATCTAATTAATATTATTTCAACCCAGAATACCTAATCAGTACGTTATCGTCATTGAAAACTAAAGATTTATTTGCCATTTTAAGGTAATAAGTATGTTATTATATATCGAATTCTTTAGAAAAGCTAATGATTTGTGTCTGCATTAATTCTGTTTCTTTCGGCTTTGAGATAAAATCCATGCCTCAAGCCAAATTTTTGAGTCATATAAATTTATACTGAAAATATGAATCACTTTTTCCTCTGAAATATATTGTTAAATATTTGAATATGTTTAATAAGGGAGCACATGCAAAAAAACATTAAAGAAACTTTTAAAGTAAAAGCCAATTTTAATTACTTTTGTACAGGAAATAAGGAAGAGTTTTAACTTGAGAAATATTTGATGTTTATTATGTTGTTAATATGTTGCGAATGCAGTTTATATTATAAAATGTATCATGAAGTTTTCAAACATTCACATTTAGCAGTTTTCAGATAAAGCGACAAAAAATTCTAGAAATTCTTGCTCATTCCTGTTTTCTATATTTTAAAGTATTCGTTGACAGAGTTTATATTTTTAATAATTTCGTATTTTTAAAATTTGATTCGGTCTTTAATTTTCTTACTGACTAAAATTACAAAATTAGTAGGTTAATTTGCATATTAAACAGCATTTATTTTTCGTGCACTCACTGCCAATACAATAATATGAAATTCTGGTATCTCACGTCATTCACTAAACAAAGGCGAAAGTATCATTTATTGTAATGTACTATTTTTTGTTAAACGCTGCATTTTTGTGTCAATTATTCATAACGGTAATATTTTATTTTAAATATTTCCGTAGACTTAATGTATGTCAGTCAAGCAATCTATGAATGATAGCTTTTTGCAATACATGCATTTATTATAAAAATCCGAAATAATTTTGAAAAGTGAAAGCAAGAAAGATTTAAGCACAATCTTAATTTAGGAATGATGGCAATCAAAATTTTAAAAAGTGCTTACAATTTGTAATAATGTAGCAATGAACAGACTTACAATTGCTATTTAATATTCTTTTACATTGTACTTGTATTTTTGGTGAAAAGAATTGGTTATGGTAATTTAAATAATGCTTTCCAGCTCCTTAGATTGATTTCTGTTGTTTTAAATTTTTCTTATTTTTGCTGGTTATTGAGACAAAATCTTGAACACAATGAAATGTGAAACAAACAAAACTATTGATTGCTTTCATAGCAGTTTTTTCCCCTCCATAATCGTACTAGAAGCCATTAGTGTTTGTATCCTGGCAATCGACATGCTTTAGGTCTAATGCTTAATCCGATTAAAATTTTCATTTATTCTTAAGAATCTAAATATTATTTGAAAAATTAAGACACGTTATCAAGTAATAGCAATGTAGATTATACGTGTTATTATAAAAATTTGTGTTTAAAAATGTCTATATCCGTTATATATATATACACATATAAAATGTCCACGATTCTTTGCCAAGAAATAATCATTTAAACCGTACATTTTGCAAACCTATGAGACTATGACAGTTTTTGAAAGTATTTGAATTGATTTCAAAAAAATTTTAAAAACTTTTGAAAGCATTTGCAGCTTAGCTGTCTTATGTGCCTTTCATACAATAATAGCCGGACCTTTCTCAGCACTTACTTGTAGCTTTAGAGAAAAAACATGTAGTTTAAAGCTGCTACATGAATCTTCCAAAATTTAGTAGTTAAATGCAAGGTAAATCTTCGAAATTAATTACGTGCTTGGACGTTTTGGTCTCAAAAGTGAGAAAAAAGAAAGTAAAATTTTCTCATAGGCTCCCTCAAGTATCTTTTATGCAACAACTGTGGAAAATATTAGTTCTTACTTGCAGCTTTTGGAAGAAATACCCGTTAGTAAATGTGTTCCTAAATCTAACAAAATTTTAATGCAGGATAGATCATCTTCTAGATTAATTATCTGCTTTGATGTCAGGGGGAAAGTAAAATAAAATAATATTTTCTCAGAAGAATTTCTGGTTACGAGAGAATTACAAATATATACGGAAGATTCTAAATTCGAAAATCATATATATTAAGGATTAGAGCAATATTAGACAAAATACGTGTATCTGTAATTAATTTTAATATCGTTACTTATCTTTCCTATATTTCTTAATCATACAAAGCTGCTAATACTTCGCATCCTTATCTGGGCCCCTAAATTCTAGAAGGTTTCCCACACATGTCATTGTTTTAAATGCTCAGCCTCAAGAGTTAGCTAAGATAGAAAATAAGCTTCGCATTGTTTGTAAATTGATTTTATTATGCATATGTTTAATTTTCCATATGTTATGTGTGTATTCACAAAGTTTCTAAATTTTTCTTTCTGGAAGAGTTTAATAATATTCTTTTTTTTTCTCTTTAAAATTATTGTATATGTTTCACTTAAATATTAATAGGGCTAGCAATGAAGCAAATTGCCTGCTGTAGACTTCTTTAAAATAGATTGCAGGAAGATTTGACTGCATTTAAAGAAAATTAAGGAAACAAAAATTTATATAATATTTTCAGGCTTACCTTCAGTTTTATCACCGTCTTCCAGGTCCACTGCTTGTGGTATAGTCGGTGGTTCTCCTTGCATGTAGCAACAGCCATTCCTAGGTAAATCTAGAAGATGACTGACAGTAAATCTTTTCGTATTGTCTCCGTATTGTACTGCACCTATGTCAACCATTCTGCACTGTTAAGTCTTAAGTCTACCGTCTTTGCATTTATATAATCATTTCCTCATTTCATACTTAGTTTCATCAACAATGACAAAACGCGAAGATTACAAGATAAATTGTAATGGCATAGGTTCTAGCAAATTTCGCACTCAGTTGAATACCTAAAATATATTTTCTAAATAGTATAAATTTACTTTTCTCTCTACAAATTATTATTAATTTTAGGCAGTGAACTCTACTATCAATTTGTAAAACACAATGTAAGATGTTTTCTCAACTTCTTTACTGATTGGCGACGGTGTTTATACACCGTCCTCAGTTCATTCGTATTAAGTGTTTTAATGAAATCGTCGATATATCTGTATTCTAAGTGCCTCTACATTTGATGCCTTATTTGTTGAACGGTGGAACGAGGTGTGGAAATGCTTTTGGTGAACGGCGATGACAGCTCGTGATCCTTGGCACTTGAACGCGCCTCATTAAGGGAACATCCCGCCAATGGGGGATGGAGAGGGCGTCCCCGAGATGTCACCACAGCTCCGCCTTCTCTCATCGAAAGCTCCTCTCTCATCTTCTCTTCCTCCTCCGACAGTATTTTAACGCTGTTTCACAAGTGCTGCCAATCATTTCATTCCACTGAAGAGCTAGAAGTCATTAAGAACGATTACACACCGGTTTGTTAAACGAACATGAAACTTTAAAACTAATTATTATTTTTCTTCTTCCCTGAAATTCGTTCAATAGATGTAGTACGTTACTTCCGTCAGTAATGGTACATAAGAAAGACTATTAGTTCCAGTTTCAAATACACAGTTAATGACACTATGAAGTCCTTTTAAATGGCGCTATTTCAAAAGTGTTATTGATTTTGAAGTTTTCAGTTTTCCCTTTCCTTTTTATAATGTGATTTGAGATTTCAAAAATTAGGGAGAAGCACACGGGTACATAAGAATAAGCTACGGATTCAAGAATCACTTTTCTGCTTTCAGTTAATGAAATACCATACATTTTATTCAACAGCAGTTTCGTAATTATAGTAGTATATAACAGCAGCAATAATAGTTTTGAATTTTTTTGTTTTCCAAATTTTTAGGTTTTTTATAATTTATTTTTCTTATAATTTCCTTAATCAAGGTCTTGTATATAGCTAGTAAAAATATTTGACCTAGAACCGTAATAATACTAAAGTCTTTAGAAAGGTCTACTGATGGCGTTGCTATTTTAATGGATTTTTCTGTAGAGATAACCGTGCTAACAATAGTTTAAATTTGCTGTTAAGTACGACTTAGAAACGACTAGCAAGCCGCTTTTTTTCTTTCATAACTTTTACTTTTTCAGATGAAAGAATTAACTAATTTACTCAGATTTATCTGAAAGTATTTCTACTTCCGGAGGAAAAAGTACTATTATGTTATTTAAGTTGAAATTTGGGTAGCTTGCGATTTTTAACATAATCAAGGGTATGATCTCATGACCAGTGACCATTACTGAATTATCATATTTTATGCATACCGAGTTTATATTAAAGCCCTTAGAGACCGAAATAGCTTTTGTCTTAACACCGAAATAACTCTGCCTTTGAACGCCGAAAGCCAGAGCTGCGAAAGTTTAGCTTATCTATAGTAAAGTGCTAGGAGTTCAGCCCGGGTTCGAATCCCGGGGGGACGGACTGGCTGCATGAAAGTCTTCGTGGTTTTCTTCTGGACTTCTCTTGGGATTACATAAAAGAATAGCTGTACATCTTGCCATCGTTCGATGTTAGCGATCTACGAACCTGCAGCATAGTTCATGCAGTAACATAATATTTGAAAGGCAGCAGAACATCCATCAAGAAGTTCTAGTTCGAATACGGATATGTATTGTTGCCGATGGAGGATACATCGAACATGTTTAACTCTTAATTTTGACATTTTGTAACTCTGGAACAGGAGATTCCCAACGGGGTCGATACAATAGTAAATGCAATTAATGATGATCAAGGAGTCGATAGCATCTTTGCTGTTGATGTTTTTTCACTCTGTCATAAATTTGTGACGGAATTGCTAACTTCAAAAATTCGCCCATCAAAGCTGTACAGCTGGTCTCATATGAATGCTATGATACCTTCTTTAATGTAGGTAAAACGTTATTTCGGTTTTTAAGAGTACATGGAAAATCTCGACAGGAGAAATGAAAAAGTTTTTTCAAAAGATTCAAGAGCATGTATTTTATTTAAAAATACAGCTATAACTAAAATTTGTTTTCCACAGTAAATACATATATTTCAGCTTATTTGTAAATAAAAAGAAGTTATTTTGCAAGAGCTAATTAACTTCTATATAGCTATATGAAATATTTTGAAAAAATTATCTGTTCGGTACACATTTTTAAAAAACTATTGAGTTCCATCACCTTTGGCATGGTAGCAGGAAATATACTATTTGAAAATAATAAGAGGCAATTTTCATTTTTACTACAAAACTTGGAAAATCCCCAAAATTTTAATATGTGTGGTGAAGCATTAAAGAAGCACATTTTGAGAAAAAGACAAAAATATGTATGCATATCCACAGTGCTTAAAATGTACTATTTTAAAAACCTTCCAGCACCATAATAATTTTGCTTTAGCATTTCTACATCAATGTTTCTCTGTTTTTTCAGTTTATTTTTCAATGTGGCTGATTTAGAGTGTTTCTGGATACTTAAGGATGCCTCTCGAACTCCAACCTCATCAATTTTTTTGCAATGAATATTTCATATTATGGCCCGTTTCAATTCTCAAACTTTTTAGAACTTTTGTGCGGTTGCAAGCCACATCATTTAAATAAATTACAGCATCTAAAATATCTGCTCTCAATAAAACAGTTTTAGCTAAGCGTTACCATAAACAAGTGCAAATGTTCGAACACACGTTGTTCCCAATATGTTGTAAACAAACACAGCAATCAAATATGTTCACACAACTTGTGAAAACACTGAAAGGGAAAATGTAGTTTGGCTACTCAAGAAAGAAGGAGCGTAAACCATAGGGTAAAATAAAAAGAGAAGTTGCTCATTTCAGTGAGCAAGAATGCTGAAAAAACTGATGTCTCTTACGCGAGGGGGAGGGCAAGGCACTGTTTATTTACATTTTTAAATACCGTATTTTAGTTGTTTATATATTTAAAATCTATGGAAATTATATATTTGCGGAATTGTCGGAGTCTGCTCTATTTTTTAAAACTATACTTAGAAATTCGAAACTTATTTTATGTTCCATGTGCCCAAGGATTTTACTGTTCACTTATAAGGTATTTCTCCCACTTTCCAGTGTGCCTTTGCGGTGTAACGGTAGCACGCTGGACGGTATTCTAGAGGTCCGTGGTTCGATTCCCGGCGAAGGCGATTGCATATTTTTCATCTTTTCTGCTTCCAATCAACCTAATGACTCTACACACTCTCTATATGCACACATCTGTTAAGATTGCGCTTAAAATATGCCTGGTCAGTTTGATAACTTTTCTATTAATCAGATACCCTTTGTCTCTACGTAATGAATGCCCAATGGGGCCGATTTTATCATAATTGTTTTATTTTTGTAATAGCTTATGGAAAGTGGGGAAATCTACAATTTTCTGTTTTATTTTTAGTCTCCTGAGGCCTATATTAGGCGTAGTTAATTTAAGAACTGTTTTTAGGCTGCAATTTTAAGTTCAGCTTTTCAAACCTTTTTGTTCAAAGCTCTTGAGTAAAGTGAATTTTAAAGTGAGTTTATTACTATCTCTTTTTAGCAATTATATATATGTAATAATTTATTTCCTAAACAGTATTGATTAATTGATTATATTATCTCCTAAGTTTAATTAAAGTAGAATTATTTTAAAAGTGTGAATCCATACTGGTAAGTTATATTTTGAAAGATGTTTTGAAGTAATTTGAAAGGCATAATGTTAATAATGTTTTAACGGGGACTGGAGTTAAATCATCATGAAGAATAGAATTTCAATTGTAAAAGGAAAAATTAAAAACATGTAATCATTGTCATTGATCGGAAATTAGTTGACTTTTCAAGGGGAACAAACCAACTCCAGCTCAATGAACAATAATTGATAAAAATACGTAAATACGAAAGTGTTTCGTCTTTACTCGAGTTATAAGTTAAAGCCAAACCGGCAATTCTAGTCAGGCCAAATATTTCCGCGAATAGAAGGGATTTATATATAGTATATAAATGGGCTTGTTAAAGTAGTTATTGAATTATATCGTAGGAAAAGAAATTGAGAATATTATATACCTAATAAACTGCAATGTTATACATTTCATTAGCTGCTAATTTTTCTATAATTGTTATTTCTTAGCCAACCACACTTTATTCTCCATATTTTAAAAATTTTCAACTAAAATGTAATTAAATTCATAAAAACATAAACAGGACAAATATGATTACTTGCAACGATTTAACTTTTATCAGTTTTCAGTGCTTTGGCATTTAGCATAGCATTTTAAAGAAAAAGAAATGTTAAAAGAAATAGCAATGAAACTTAATATTTTTATTCCTGCAGTTATATAACACGAAATTTTCTCTTAACTATACCAGTTCTTATTTCAAACATTTCCTTCTGAATATTTGTTTGAATCTTTGCTTATTAAATTATCTTAGACATGCTCAAGAATTAGAAATGGGATTTACAAATGGCTTTTTCTTTGAAATGAAATTGAAATTATTAACTACTTTTCAAAACCTTTTATAGTGCGGGAAGGAAAATTTTGTAAACTTACCTTAATTCGTTCACAAAGATGGGAAACACGATATTACATCATTAATGAATAAGCCTTAGTGCTGCAGATATCCCTGGGCGTGGAAGCACAAGTATTAATTAGTAATTACACTCTATTAAGACATCACATACAAAAAGATGATCGTATTAGTCATGAATGCCATTTCTTATTTCCTAGCCCAAAACTCTTATTAGATTAGATAGTCTCCAAGAAGAGTTCCTTAATTATGCAGATTTCTAAACTTGCCAAGTTGATTACATTCATTGCTAGACTAAATGTAAATCGACAAAGACTATAATTAACATCCATGTTACTATATTTTATTTTTATATTTTAAACAGAGGGAAGATTAAAGCAGGATCTAAACATCACATTTTAGAAAGGTCGTATTAATTTTTAAAGTAAAATTAAAAGAAATTTTATAAAAGACTGGATTGGTGTTAAAACTCTGAAATAAGAAAAGAAAGGTTAATTGGATTTTTTTTTCTATATGTCGTCCACAACAAAACACTTTATCAGTCAAAACTGATTTTATTTACTGTGATGCTTAAATGCATGATATTCTAGTCCTACCTTCTTGATAAACTAAAGATAAAAACTTTATGTGACAACTTGTATTTTTGCTGAATTTTTAAAAAATGAAAGCGTTGTTCACAGTGTCTCGTCATTAGTTGAAATCATTTTAAAAATAAGAGAAA